GGAGGAGGAGGAGGAGGAGGAGGAGGAGGAGGAGCAGCAGCAGGAGGTGGAGGAGAAGGAGGACGAGCAGAAGGACGAGAGGAGAAAGAGGAGGAGGAGGAGGAGGAGGAATAGGAGGAGGAGGAGGAGACAAGGGGGAGAGAAGGGAGAACGGAGGAGGCTGGGAGGAGGGGAGGAGCGGGGCCGCGGAGCCGCAGAGGTCTCGCCTCGGCTTCCCCCCTGTCTCCGCTCCTCGGCATGCTTGTGCCCAGCTGCCAACGGCAACCCCCACCACTGTCCCAGCGCAGCATCACAGCAGGGTCAAAGTTGGGCTCGAGGACCGCTCCAGAACAGCGGCCGTTCTGAATTGGCGCGGGTCTTCAAGACTTCCTTTTTGTTTTGCGTTGTTCTCGGCCTCATTCTCTTCCTCCTTTCGCACTCGTCCTCCTCCCCTGTCCCCTCCTCCGTCTTGAAGGCATCTTTGAGGCTTTCTGGGGGCGTCTCAAGATTGGGGGCTTGCTGTGGGCTCTGCTGGGGGATCGACCGATTCGGACGAGGTGACAAAGTCCGATTTGTACACGTACTGCCGCGGCTACGACGCCTGCGAATACAGTCGAAACCGACGAGAAGGATGGTTAACCTTCCCGAGGGTACCATCCTTGCCTCTTCAGTCCATCCTTGACTACTTTCGATGGCCCGCCGCGTTCGAATAAGCTTCAACACGGGCGTCCAAGGGGCTTGCATCCTGATCGCGCATCCTTACTATCATTGTTGGCGTTTTGACTGTAGGCGAACCCGAAGGGGGGGGGGTTAGCACCGGTCGAGCTGCTCGGAAAGGGTCGCGCGGAGAGATGGAGCGCACCAGCTCGTCCAGCACGTCGTCGCGGCGCAGGAGGCGATGCCGCCCGCATGGTTACAAGCAAAGCAGCAGGGCGCGGTCGCCCCGGCCACTCCTGGAAGCAGTCGCTCGGGCGGGTTGTCACGGGGGGGTGGCCCAAATGGGGGGTGAAGATAAGGGCCCTAACCGGGCTCTTCAGGGCCCCGTCTGGAGCAAGCAGGGGCACCAAAGGGTCCTTTCAGGGCCCCCTTCCTTCACCCCCCATTTAGGCCACCCCCTGTTACCACCCACCCGAGTCGCGAGAGGTATGTGTAAGTCCGAGTGCCAGATGCCTCTGGCTGCCAGGGAGCGATGTGGAGAAAGACGCCACGACTCACGATCTGAGTGATGCAACTCCTAGGCCGGCGTGCCGTGTGATGGCTGTGCGCCCGTCAGCGACGCACCTCGTGCAGCACTCGTGCCGCATAACCCTCGCGGGCGGCTGAAGGTACCTCTTGCTGGAAGAAGCGGGGTGCACTGCGGACAGCGAGTTCATCACGGCCGTTCAAGGGCACAGCCTTGCGGTGCGCATCGCTGCCAGGGATGATTTGATGTTGACGTCAACGAAGCGTGCGAATCACCGCATGGTGAGGTTTCGCGTCCTGCGCGAGGTGGAGGTGCATCCTAGGTCAACATCCATAGGCTCCAATCAGATCAACGGCTCCCAAGGGGTCGCGGCGGCCCATGTTGGGCCAGGTGCTTTCAGGAAGCCCCACAGGCGTCGCCCGCTGAGCTGAGTACGGAGGAATGCCGTAACTATGAAAACCGTAGAGGCGAAACAGACGAGAGGGAGTCGCAGGAGGAGGATAACGATGAGAAAGGCAACATTCAGGAGGGACTACCCCCCCTTGGCGAGGGGGCTACCGCCGGTACGCTGTGCGCGCAGTACAACAACCTCGAGTCCGTCGAGGCTCTCCTGAAGGCCAACGAGGTCCCGGGAGGGGATGATGTGAACACGGTGATGAGAGGGGTAGGGACGATGATGATGGTGTGGATGGCGACGATGATACTGAGGATGACCATGTTCTTGATGATGGTGGTGGCGATACTATGATGGTGGTGGAAGCCATGACGATGGACGGGACGAACGTTTCGAAGACAATTACTATGATGGATATGATGATTATGATGATTATGATGTAGATGATGGTGCAATGATGATTAGCTAATGGTGGAATGATTGTGATATCACAATGAAACGACGATGATGATGGTGATGATGATGACGATGATGATGATGATGATGATGATGATGATGCTGGTGATAGTGATTGTGGTGTCGATGGTGATGATGGCGCTGCTGCTGATGATGGTATTGATGTTGTTGTTGATGATGATGTTTATGACGATGATGATGATGATGATGATGATGATGATGATGATGATGATGATGATGATGATGCTGATGATGATGACGACGACGATGACGATGACGATGACGATGACGATGATGATGATGATGATGATGATGATGATGATGATGATGATGATGATGATGATGATGATGATGATGATGATGATGATGATGCTGACGAGGATTCGGACAATGTCGATACTGATGCTGATGATGATGCAAGTGCTGACGACGACGATGATGACAATGACAAGGATTATTCCCCAAACAGAGCTTGCCTCTGCAGGGGTCCTAGCGGATTAAAGGCTGAGGTGAGGTTCGCCGCCGATTTGGTGGCCGGGCCCGGGTGCCCGGGTGCCCGGGGGTGCCCGGGTGCCCGGGGGTGCCCGGGTGCCCGGGTTCGCCGCCGATTCGGTGGCCGGGCCCGGATGCCCGGGTGCCCGGGTGCCCGGGTTCGCCGCCGATTCGGTGGCCGGGCCCGGGTGCCCAGGTGATGGGTGCCCTGTGCCCAGGTGGGTGCCCGGGCGCCCAGGTGCCCCGTGCCCTGTAGCCCTATAGCCTTATAGCCCTATATCCCTATCGCCCTATAGCCTTATAGATGTTATATAGCCATATAGCCATATAGCCCATATAGCGCCCAAGAGCCCATATAGCCCTGTAGCCCTATAGCCCTACAGCCCTAAAAAGATTATAATTGGGTTTTTCTCTGGTATCATGATGATGGTGGTAGCGGTGATGATGATCCTGATGATGATGCTGCTGCTGATGATGACGATGCTGTCGACGATGATGATGACGATGATGATGACGATGATGATGATGATGATGATGATGATGATGATGATGATGATGATGATGATGATGATGATGATGATGATAACGATGGTGGTGGTGATGATGATGATTCTGATGATGATCATGATTATCCTGATGATGGTGATAGTGGTTGCTGTGGTGATGGTGATGATGCTGTTGATGGTGATGGTGAGTGATGATGCTGGTGATGGTGATGATGATTCCGAGGAGAATGAGGAGGGTGAGGGTGAGGATGAGGATGATCATGAGGATGATGATAATGATGATGCTACTGATGATGATGGTGATAGTGATGGTGATGGTGATGGTGATTACGATGATGCTGATGGTAATGCTGATGATGAGGAGGAGGAAAGGGAGGAGGAGGAGGAGGAGGATCCTTGTATTCCTCCTTATCATCACCTCATCATCATCATCATCACCATCATCATCATCATGATCACCATCTCATCATTAGCACCACCATCATCATCATCAACATTATTATCATTAGCATTAGTTTGATTAATCTTAATATTCGTATTAATGTCAAAATGTTTTCATTGTTAGTATTAACATCATCTTCATCACCATCGTCATCGTCGTTGTCATCATCATCATCATCATAATCAACATCAATCATCATCATCATCATCATCATCATCATCATCATCATCATCATCATCATCATCATCATCATCATCATCATCATCATCGTCATCGTCATCGTCATCGTCATCGTCATCGTCATCGTCGTCGTCATCAGCATCAGCATCATCATCATCATCATCATCATCATCACCACACCGCTTCGACAGGTGCCGATGGCCAGAGTAACAGGTGCCTGCGCTTGGACTGAGTGCAAAGCTGCCAGCCCAGAGGCACGTACGTGCCGAGCCCCGCGGGGAAAAAAACGACACCTTCACAGCCGAAAGCACCGGACGATCCGAGCCCCTCTGCCTATAATCACCCGATCCCAGGAGGGAGATCCGCGCCCCCACCTTGAACCGACCGCCGCTCTCTGCGGCGAGCGGGCGAGCCGCAGCAGCAGGAGGCGGCAGGAGCAGCCGTCTTGGAGGAACGGCGGGACGCGCGTGACCTCGAGGCGCGGCCGCATTCCGCGGGCGCACGCGCCGTCAAACGCGGTCGCATCCGTAGGACGCGTCGCGCTAGCCAGGCCCGAAAGGCTCAACGGATGCTACATTGATCGGAAACGCCATCTCGCAGGACGGTTGCCAGCAGGGGCAGCTCCAGGCAAGACATCGTGGATGCCTCACCCGTGTGCAGGCATCAACAATGCGTCTCCCCAAGAAGTCACTATGCTGAACTGCAGTGTTGCCAATTTCCGTGACAACCTGCGACCTAGATAAAGACCGATAATGGCCACCGCTCTATCCTACCTCGCAGTTGTGGACCGCCGATGCAGCAGCAGGACAGCGCTGAGGCCACCCTCGCGTGCAGGTATTCTGACCACATTACTTCTCCCAGGGCCGATCTCCAGCAGTGTTACTGGCGATCAAGTCAGCATCAAGGCCACTCGGATTCAGTCCCGTGGCGCCTCTCTAGTGAAAGGGTGTTGGCGGATGGCGTCATGATCGTCGTCGTATTCGCGCAGCTGGATGAAGGCTAGCTCCATCGCTCTCTTGATGGTACGGGCGCGTCGCCGCCGTCGCTCTGGTCCCGTATGCTCTGCTTAAAGATAGGGTGGCGCGCCTCGTTGGTGACCTCGAGATCTTCGCCCGTTGCAGATCTAGAGCCGTCAGGCTGCACCGCCGATCGGGGTGAAGAGCCAGTCGGAGAAAACGTGCTGCCGCGTCTGGTAACCTTTCGGTTCAGCCATTCCGCTAGGCACAGTCGCCCTCGAAGCCCAGCTCCCGTCGAGATTACAGCTTGGACGCGAACCACCACCGTTGCCCCGGCTGTCACAGCCGTCGCCATTGTGGTTCGAGCCGGCTGTCCCTTTCTGGAGGAGTGGACATCGTGCCGAACCGTTCG